TATAAAGGGCAAAGATTATTGTTTGAGCCGTCTCATATAAATGTTATATGCTTAAACGATAAGTCCAAGGAATATGTGATTGGAAGAATGCGATCTAAAGAAGTTAGATTCATGAGACCATTCTTTCGTTGACACATCCTAAACGTTCCTGATCATAGGATTGTCAATTGGGCATTGACAGTCCGTTAAGATCAGTACGTGCTATGTCTTCTCTCAGGGAGAGTGACTAGTCTCGAGTCATTGGTGTGTGTGACATCAAGACAAGTACGTAGGTGCTCAATAGAGAATGAGTTCACTGAACACGATCAACGAAGAGTTCTCATATTCATGTCACATGAGAACTCATGGTTGGGATAATGCAAATTAGTCTTTTGACCTGAGGCATCACAGTTGTCTTGTGGTTAGGTCCATAATCTTTGATTATGTCAAAGTCACTCCATCAGGAGGGTGTCCAAGGCATCGTTGGGGTTAAGCCACTTAGCCATGGACGCAAGTGAATGCGCAACAAGGGATCTCTAACCTTCAAACTGTTTGAGGGAGAATACTCTATGATATGATTAAGAATCTTTGGCCAAAGTATGAATGAGATTTAGGAATGTGTTCCAAATCACATTCAAGGTAATCATATAAGCACAAGACTCACATTGGATAGTAGACATGAATAAACTATCAAACCAAACAATGTGGTCAAGAGTATTGTATTAGAGAAAGACCGTATTGCATTTGTAATCCTAAAACTGAATAGGTTCTCCACCTCTTCTGATTAGCTTGGGTAACCATGACATGCTGCTAGGCGTCAACCATGGTTTGTGGAAGCCCTAAAAGTGTATTATCACTAACGGGAGAATTGAAAGTAAGTTTCAATTCACAATCGATTAGAAAGAGTTTTAATCGCCCACTGCCTCGCTAAAAGGAACCTAATGGATCGTTCACCGAGTAAGGTAGAGTTTGAAGAAACAACGGAGATGAGTAAGAATAATTAAATGGTTTAATTATTTATCTAAGGCTAGGATTAATTAATATGTTAATTAATCAAACGAATAAGTTCGTTAAAGACCTCGGGTTAGTTTTGGGCCGCAAGGCCCAATGGGATTTGAATGTCAAGCCCATTAACTCAAGTTGTATGACAACTTGAATAAACAAAGGGCTTGAAAGCCCAATAAACCCTATAGGCTTGCCATGTTAGAAGAATAGGGCTTTTGGTCCATTAGGTCACTTATTTGAAGGGACTATATAAAGGACTTTATAGCCTAAAATTTACAATGGTAATTTTTGGGGAAAGGATGAGAACACAAGCTCTCCTTTCTCTCTAAAATTTAGGCCACCTTGGAGGGATCATCTAGCAATCAAACTCCTCCAAGGTCACTCATTTCTTCTCATTATGCTGGTGAATCATTAGAGTTCTCAATTTTGGGAACTGAGACCTTCATTCACCAAATCTGAATCTAAGGATGCAAGGATGAAGTCCCCTCTCTTGGGTGATTACTTTGCTTATGCAAAGAGGAACTACAAAGGATGACCTCATTTGTTTTAGCTTGGTCACTATCTCGGTTGAATTTCATGGGTAAATGTAAAGTGCATACACATGATCCGCCTTTATGTTATTGCATGCTATTGATGTTGCTTAAATGAACATGTTTTTCACAAATCTTCCTTCACGTATTACAATAGGTTTGATATTTCTTAGATTTATGAGTTGAAAGTGAAGTCATTCAGACTTCGACAAGAAGGGAGGCCTATCGGTGTATACTATGCCGATCTTAAAGTCGTTTGGCAAGAATTGGATCAGAGGAGACCAATCAAGATGGAATGTGAGGGTGACTTGAAGACACTTCGAGAGGAGATCCAACTAGATCGTGTGTATGCTTTCTTGGCAGGGCTTGATGATATATTTGATAAGGTGCGTAGTGATGTCTTGAGATCACAACCTTTACCATCTGTGGAGGAAGTGTTCTCTGTTGTGAGGCGGGAAACACAACGCCATGCAACGATGATTGATAGTAATGGCATTGGGAATCAGGGAGGAGTTTTTTCAGTGGCTATGGTATCCCGGCCACCTTCGGGTAACCGGACCTTTAAGCTTTCATCATCAACAACTTCTTGGCCATTCACTAGGGAAAATAAGGATGACTTGAAGTGTACTTTTTGTGGGCAAACCCGTCATACAGAAGATACATGTTTTCAGAAACATGGAGTACTTGACTGGTTTCTGGAATTGAAGAAAAAGTTGCATGCCAAGGAGCGAGGTGCTGGTGGCACAAGAGGAGGCCGTGCATCCGTGGCTACTGCTCCCAAGGATGTCGTACCCCCCTTTGGTGATCCTAGTCACAGTTTGCTGACTAGGACCACTCCTAGTGACACCCTGTCCATTCCAGGTAGTATGGGGCATGCGTTTTTAGCCTCTGATATGGAACATCATACAGGTTAGATTTTGGACTCGGGTGCAACCGATCATATGACTTTTGATAAGAATTTATTTACTAGTATGACAACGAGTTCACGGAAATGTATTGCAACTGCCAATGGACAAACAACACCGGTTTTAGGGGCAGGAACAGTGCACCTCATACCGGCCCTTCCTCTTCATCATTGCTTGCTTGTTCCCTCATTGTCTCATAATTTGTTATCTAGTCCTCAAGTTACTGAGCAATTAGATTGTGTTGTGCTTATGTATCCACTTTTTTGTTTACTTCAGGATATTCAGACCAAGGTGATAATTGTGTGTGGCACTAAGAGAGAGGGGTTATACTATGTGGATGACGTCGTTCTTGGCAGAGCTAATGCAATTCGAGCATCCCGTACCAATAATTTATCAGAAATTTGGTTATTGCATCGTCAGTTAGGACATGCTTCGTTTGGTTATTTAAGGTGTATGTTGTCTAGTCTATTTCATGCAATAAAAGAATCAGACTTACATTGTGAAGTATGTATTCTAGCAAAGAGTTATCGTGCTTCGTTTCCTTCTAGTATGAATAAAAGATTATTACCTTTTGATCTTGTGCACTCGGATGTTTGGGGTCCCTCTCCTGTTAGTACTTTGTCTGGCATTAAGTGGTTTGTTACCTTTGTAGAAGATTGCACACGTATGACGTGGATTTATGTGATGAAAAATAATAGTGATGTGAGTATGGTGTTTCGGTCATTCTCCAAAATGGTTGCAACGTAATATTCCTTTGTTATTAAGGTTCTCCGCTCTGATAATGGAGGTGAATATATTGGTTCGAGTTGTCTAACTTTCTCCGAGATCAAGGAATCTTGCATGAAACTATTTGTCCTCATACCCCACAACAAAATGGGGTTGCGGAGAGAAAGAACCGTCATATCTTGGAGACTGCCCATGCCTTGCTTATTGGTGCATTTGTACCTAACCGGTTCTTGCATGATGCGGTCACTTATGATGTGCATGTCATTAATCGTATGCCATCCCGGGTGTTGGACTTTCTTACACCTCTCCAAGTGTTAATGAAGTTTGTTCCAGTCGTGTCCACCCATACTCTTACTCCCCGTGTCTTTGGGTGTGTAGCTTATGTTCATATTCATAAGATTTATCGTAGTAAGTTGGATCCATGTGCACACTGGTGTATTTTCCTTGGTTTTGCTCCTCAACAGAAAAGGTATAAGTGCTACCATCCAGAAACTCACCATATGTATGTGACCATGGATGTTACTTTTTCGAAGTCCGAGTATTATGTTTCGATTCCATCACCTTCTGATCACTAAGGGGAGAATATTATCGGTGATCTTGGGTGGTTCGAAATATGTGGCTCAAGGGGAGAAGGAAGCTGTGAAAGCTCTCGGCATACTACAGAAATGAGCTGTGAAGGCTCATGTCAAGAGCCTACCGAGCACTGGAGTTTTATTCAGCCACCACCTGAGCCCTCTTGGCAACAGCTTGCCGAATGTGATGAAAAAAGTCGGCATGAACTTACCGAGCCAATCACGCCAGTGCCTACCAAATCCGCAATCCCCTCTCTCTCGACTTCGATAGTGCCACCCAATATGTCTCCTCTGAATATCCCTGAGGTAAGTACTACTGATACTTATGTAACTAATACAGATAACATTGTGAGTACACATATAAGTTGCCACCAAGGCAAAATTGTGGTGTTCCTCCTGACAGGTTTTCTCCTAAAGGAAAAATGAAGTATCCAATTACTAATTATGTGTTGTGCTCGAACCTTGGCCCGGAACGCCAAGCCTGGGTAAATAATATAGAAGTAATCCAAGCACCAACCAGAGTTGAGGAGGCCTTGAAGGATCCTAAATGGGCTGCTGCAATGGATGAAGAAATGATGGCATTACATAAGAATGATACATGGGAGGTAACTGAAGCTACCCAAAGGAAAGAAACCGGTTAGGTGTAGATGGGTCTTTACAGTTAAATACAAGGCAGACAGATTAGTAGACAGGTATAAAGCAAGGTTAGTGGCAAAGGGTTATACTCAGACTTATGGTGTTGATTATCAAGAAACTTTTTCTCCAGTGGCGAAGATGAATACAGTACGTGTTCTAATCTCTTTAGCTGCTAATCTGAATTGGCCATTGAAACAATTGGATGTAAAAAATGCTTTTCTTCACAAGCATTTGGAAGAAGAGGTATATATGAATTTTCTTCCAGGGTTCAATACTGGAGGGAAAACCGAAGTATGTAATTGTTAAAGTCACTTTACAGACTTAAACAGTCACCTCGTGTATGGTTTGGAAAATTCACTCAAGTGATGAGAAGAATTGGGTATTATCAGAGTCACTCGGATCATACATTATTCGTGAAACAGAGAAGTGGAAAATTGACGGCCTTAATTATTTGTGTAGATGACATGATAATAATGGGTGATGATACAGAAGAGATGATGAGGCTAGAGTGAAACCTGGCTGCCGAATTCGAGATGAAGAATCTAGGAGATTTGAAATATTTTCTTGGCGTGGAGGTTGCTCGGTCATCTAAAGGTATTTTCTTATCTTAACGTAAATACGTTCTGGATTTATTAAAAGAAACAGGAATGCTGGGATGTAAACTGGCGGACACTCCCATCGTGGAAAAACATTATTTGGGGAATTATCCAGATCAAGAACTGGTTGACAAAGGTAGGTATCAAAGATTGGTAGGGAGGCTGATTTATTTGCCTCACACTTGTCCAGATATTGCCTATGCTGTAAGTGTGGTAAGTCAATTTATGCACTCACCAAGCGTGGATCATGTGGCGGCAGTAATGAGAATCTTGGCTTATTTGAAGTCTGCACTTGGTAAAGAGATCTTGTATGTGTGTCATGGACATATGAGGATTGAGGGTTTTACTGACGCTGATTGGGCAAGTGATGTGACTGCTAGAAGGTCTACATCTAGGTATTTTACATTTGTTGGAGGTAATTTGGTCACTTGGCAATGCAAGAAACAAAATGTAGTATCAAGATCCTCTACTGAAGCCGAGTATAGGGGAATGGCACAGGGTGTGTGTGAAATTCTTTGGTTACGGAAGTTACTTTGGAGTCTCGGTTTTAAACAGACAGAAGTAATGGAGTTTTATTGTGATAATAAGTCCGCTAGAGATATAGCTGAGAATCCAGTACAACATGACAGGACTAAACGTGTGGAGGTTGACAGACATTTTATCAAGAAAAGTTGGAGAAGAAGATTGTGTCAATACCATTTGTGAACTCAAAAGAACAACTTGCAGACATTCTTACCCATGCCATGTGTAGTAGGCGTTTTGATGATTCACTAGTCAAGTTGGGCATGAGTAATATCTATGCTCCAACTTGAGGGGGAGTATTGGAATAAGTCAATGTTTAAGAGAAAAGGAATGTAAATATTCTGTAATTATTAGTGTCTTATTTAGGAAGGATAATATGTACGTTATTTGTTTCCTTTTGTAACAAGGATTGTATGTACCTATTTACACATAATTATGGACTATACGAGATTAAGTTGTAAAATTCTATTTCTTCTTCGTCAGGTTTTTCTCAGATCTGTTGATTTCGATTTTAGGGCTTTTTGCTTTTCTTCTCTCAATTGTGTAAAATTTCTGTAAACTTATTGGATTTTGAGGGTTTTAATTTTGGTTTCGTGGCCAATTTTGTCACAATTCCAAACATTTCTTGCAATTGAAATAGATTAGGAAGCGATACCGCAATCTGGATGCTTGCTCTGTTTTTTGGAGTTTGATTATCAAAAAACGTTTCTTGCAATTGAAATAGATTAAGGGCTGATATATTTTTTACTCTTTATGTTAACATAGAGAGAGAGGATTCTTAGAGAGACCAAGAAAGTTCTCAATTAGGCAACAATCTTAGGCATTTAAGGGCGTTGTTACTTGTTGAAATTAGATTTAAACTTTCCGGATTGTCGTTCTTTCTTTCCTAAATGTGTTTCAGAATTTGAACTAGGTTTTATGGTATGAACTTGACTGGAATTTTTGTTTGACGGAGCAATAGATATTCAATTTGTGCTTTTTGGATGATTTTTGTCCTTGATCAATAAGAACAGTGGCAATGTGCTGTTTGTAATGGGTCGTATATATATATTTTTATTATTAATATATTTTCTGTCTGTTTTATGCGACAAGAATGCTTTTATTTATTTTTTATTAATATCTTTTCTGTCGATTATATCCGACACAAGTTCTGTCGATTTTAGCCGACAGAGAATGCTTTTATTTATTCATTATTAATTATTTTCTGTCGGTTATATTTAACACAAGTTTTGTCGGTTTTAGAGTATTTTCTGTCAGAAAATTTATTTCCTGACGTTGGCAATTCTAGAGTATTTTCTGTCAGAAAATTTATTTCCTGATGTTGGCAATTCTATCTCTTATTATATCCACCACTGCATCCATGTTTTGTCGGATTTTGCTTATATCCGACAGTAATATACGTTTCTTGTTGGTTATCATAACGACACTAATAAATGATTTCGTAGTACTGAAGTGGTCTTAGGTTTGATTCTCGCCAAAGGCGAGTTTGAACCATATTATTGCTAGCTCACTGTGAGGCTAAACCCACCCCCCATCCCTCTTAGTGTACATACTATCGTTTGTTGAGGGAACAAAAAAAAAAAAAAAAAAAAAAAAAAGGGTCTCTAAATAATCATTTAACTAAAATAACATTAATAGGACTAGTTAATTTGATACAACAAATTGAATGTCAATTCTCTCTTCAGATCCTCCTTCGTCTTGGTTCCTACATGGCATTTACTTCAGTAGATGTTGACACACCCCGACCGCAATGACACAAGTTATGAGGCCGTTATGTGCTAGCTGACACTAAATTGACCATATGGCACCATTGTGAGATGGCGTCATAAGCCAACTTAATGACGAAGCCATTGTAAGATATTTATGATGTGCAAGAATTTGAACAAAAAGGTCATTAATAATAAATCCAATGATGGTACAAAGTTCACTTATCAACTTTCCCATTTGGGGACACAAATTATCTTGGGATTAAATCCCGTTATTATCGCATCATATGAGAGCAGCTAGAAGTTTCACACAACAATAAACACATAAAACTGCAATGTTGTGCATAATCAAAAGTGCGATCATGCAATTATTACAGTTAAGATAAAATTGCAGTAAATGAACCATCACCCTAAATCCAAAACTTGCAGTAAATGAACCATCATCCTAAATCCAAAGGATGAAAGTCTCACTGTCAAGCCCAACTCGTCACGACCAATTTTCTCCTTATTCTCGTTACATCCTAAGGGGCTCAACAAAACAAAAATGTGAGTTGACCAGTTTTATCACGTCAAAATCATTCGAATATAATAACCCCTATTTTGAAATCATATATAGTGAAAACTACATACATATTAATGCTACAATAATAGTAGTCAAGAACAACTCAATCTTGCTTGTCATATTAATGAAAGTAAAGCAATCACAAACAAAGTAATGTATCGCAAGCAGGTGAAGTGGTGTCTGCCTCATCGATATCTAGAGTCTACTAGCAAATCTAGCCTCTAATAGAATGGAATGCACCTGCAATAAATCCTACGGCCGTAGGTAGCTATACGATATGTATGATAACCATGTGGTGAAAATAAATGACCAATGATCTCAAGATATCATCTAATATTAATTCAAGTATAAGTCTCGTCAAAGATTATCATAAGCAATATGCATCTGCATATAAAAGCATATATAAATATAAAATAAAAACATTTGAGTTTTCAAAGGGGTCCACTCACAAGTAAGCAGAGCATCATTCGTCAATAGGTTCCTTGCCTAATCTCTTTTTATCCTTTAATAAACCTGTGATAATCATATAAAGCTAAGTTAAGCTTTAATCGACATTTTATGAAAAATCACCCAAAACTACCATTTAGGTAATGAATTTTCACAAACAGAGGGAGCCATGTCATTTAGATTACCAAAAAACCTAAAGATAGGTCACGGGTCCTGCACTCACCACCATACACGCCGCCACGCGCCACTGTGCTTCGGTTACACGCCACCACTCCCACCTCGGTAGTGTCACGTGCCACCGTGGTGGTGTCACACGCTGGAAAAACACCCTGGGAAACCATCGCATGTGAACATGCCGCTGTACTCGCCGTCACGGTTCAGCAAGTAGACATCTTGCCGTCGCTAGAGCCACGCGCTGGTGCGATGAGGGTTTAAAGGTGTTTATGGGAATATACCTCTGTCGTTAAAATATTCTATCAAGGTTAACGGAAATCCAGGTCCTGCCGTTAAGGTTAACGACGACCGTCGCCAGCAGTCGTCTGTCCGTGTCGGAAACTGCAAAAAGGTACCGAGGGTTGCAGAGGGTGAATTTAGTCCCAAATTTCATGAATTTCACGTTAGAACTTGTAGAAAACACAACTACAAGGCATCAGGACTTATTTTGTACAGATTTATGAGCAATGAGGGTCGAATCCACCTCGGATTCGGCAAATTCCCTTTTGAAGGCCTTCGCCGAATTCTGGAGATGAAAAGCAGAGTGCATGTATGTTAAATCTTAGTAATTTCTAGCTAAAATTTACATGTAATAGGGTATCTAAGTACATGGGATTGGTTCAAGTTGGATACGAGCTCCATAAATCATTAACTCGCCAGAGTTTGCTCGGAGAAGATGACCAGAAGTTGGGCACATGCACAAAGAGACATGTAGGAGTTAGAACTCGAAAAATAGGCTCAAATCTCACCAATTTCAGTCCACGTCGAAGAAGAGATTGAGTGAAGGCATTGCAAACCAAATCGACCTCAAACTCAATGGCAGTCTTGCTAAAATTCAACGTCGAAGCTAGGCATGCATATGCAGAGAATAATGAGGCTAAGAACTCACGGATTCAAGCTTAAACCAGCTGAAAATTCACTTCCAACACACTTAGAAACCCAGAAATAAAGGAGAAGGGAAGAATGTCACCAGAGATTGAAGGTTAGAGCTCGGAGCTTTCGAGTTCCATGGCAGGTCACTACGCAGTGCTCCGCTGGCACATGCAAAGGTATAGCTAGGTTCCTTTAGTCCCAGAGATTAAGGTTTCAAGGTTTTGGGGTTGGATTTGCTTCAGTTTCGAAGAGAAAAGGGGACAAGAGAAATGAGGAAGGATTGTATGTGAAATTACAAGTTTACCCCTCAATTTATTTTAAGTGAAATAAGGAAGGAAAGAAAGAGAGATGGAGTGGGTATTATCCCACTTAAAAATAATTTTAAGTGAAATTACAAATTTACCCCTCAATTTATTTTAAATTACAAATAAGCCCTCGAGGCTTCGATTCATAATTTTCTTTCGACATAAACCTATCGCACGAAAATTAAGGTTATAAAACTTAAGAAAGTATAAGAATATTAATCTCAAGTTGAGGCTTGAAAATTGATTAAGACACCCATTTAAGGGCAAAATGGTCATTTTATATGTTTTGGGAATGAAATACAATATTTTAAGGAATGGGTTGTAACAGATGTTGGTTAAAGACATGTGGAGATTCCATTGATATGGACTGGGTTTACTTATTTAATTATTGTATTTTCATTGAATAGATTGTTGGGGGGCATTTCTAAGGTACGGACTTTAGAAACCGACCTTTGCGTACAGATGGAAATCAGATGATCGTAATTTGCTGAGGTCATGGTAGAATTGGGTTGTTGTGACTAGGTGCAATTAAAAATTTAAAATTTTTTTATTCACTATGTATCTTTTGGTTGGAGAGGAAGGAAAAGGTGGGTAACTAAAGGATTTTGGCGCACTGAAGAGAGAAAGAAAGGCGGAGAGAAGGAGTTAGGGTGAGGAATTGATTTCAGCTGGATTGAAGGTGCATTGTGACTGTGACCTGGTAATCTTATACCTTTAATTTTTTTGGTTAACTGGTGTGTTGTTATCACCGAGTTAGGGAGAGATTAAGGTTGTCTTTGTCGGGAATGAGTGGTAGAGAGAAGGAGCTAGTGAAGCCTGGGAGGGTACAATTTTAAGTGGATTGATTGGGACCCGGTAAATCCTATACCTTTAATTTTTTTTTAGTTCACTGGTGTGTTTTTGTTGGAGAGAGTGGGATAGTGGGAGAAGGGAACTAGGGTGAGGAATCGATTTCAACTAGAGTGAAGGTATGTTGTGACTGTGACCTGAATCTTGTACCTTTAATTTCTTTTTCTTTTTTGGTTCACTAGGTGTGTTTTTGTCGTCGAGAAAGAGAGGCAAAGTGAGGAAGCTGGT